AAATTATTCAAAAAAAATATTTTAATTTTTGTAGTCTTTTAGTTGTAAAGTTGCTTTTACCCAATATCTAGCACATTACATGCAACTACATTTAGAGCAGAAAAATCCCACCATAAGATCTTTTTTTGCTCAAAAATTAATTTTTTTTCTGTTTATTCGACTTATTAATGTTTTTTGACAACTTGGAAACATTTTATAACCTTTTTTTGTTTCTTTTCTGTTAGAAGAAAGAATAAGGTATGGAATTTTAAAAAGGAGAAAGTATACAACTTTTTAAAAAATAAAATTAGAGTGTCAGGAAGAGGTTTTCCATAGCAAAAAAAACCTTCTGATTGGAAAAGTTGTCGTTTGGTTCATTAATCACTGTAGACCTCATAGACATTTTACTTATAGAAAAAAAACTTGGTCATCAGTCGGTGGCATTCCGTCAGTTAACGGGTTTTCCTTTTTCATCTGACTCGTCTCAGATACGTCTCAGTCGAACTCAGTCGAATTGCAGCTGCTTTAGTGTAAAAATCTGTACCGAGTAGAAGCTATAGTGTCTAAAAAATTTTTATAATTTTCCACTGGGTTCTGAAGTTGCTAAAAATAAATGTTCTTCTTTCACAGTTTAGTGAATTGAAGCGTACATTAATTAACTTGCTTATAGAACGTTTTTTAGTCAAACTTGAATGCCAAACCGGTTATGAAAGATTCAGAGAAGCTTGCTATCATATCTTCAACTATACTTTAAACTTCATTGAAGCGGAACAGTTCTGTGTCAATGACGGTGGGCACCTAGCTTCAGTTCATGATAACGAAGTTTGTTTTATTGCAGTCATTTCTTACACGCATACGATAAAACAATAAATACTGTGCTTTTATGAACGTGATGTGTAAAAAAGAAAAAAATAGACCTTTAATAAAAACAAAAACTTTCTTTATGATTACTTATCCTGTCACCGTTTCAGGAAGCTGCTTTTCTTGTTCAAATGATCAAGGAAAAAAGTGCGCTAATGATCGGTTATAACGGCCGCAATTGGACAGATGGCAGTTCGACCAGTTACATTGCAAATCAAAGTTTGTTCTTCCTGAACTTTATGAAGTGATTACAACGAGCAATTCTGTCGACTGTCATACTTCCTTTGTCTGAACTGACAATCTTTTTCCATCTGCACAGTCTACAATAAGAAGACTCTGGTACTGATCATAGTAAATCGATGATCACTATTTTTTCTGCGTATTAAACCTCCGCAAACGAGCAAACGAGAATTGCTCGTCAAAAGTGTCTACAGCAAACTTCAAATTTAAAAACTCCTAGAAAGAAGTAGTTGTATTGAACTTTGTAGTTCTTACCGCTGGATGTCGCTGGTTCCCATCTGAAACCAAGTGCTTAACACTCTTCTTTCCAAAAGTTCTTTTTGAGAACAATCTAGAAGTTTCTTTAGGTCATTTCCTACGACCTTTCTTCAGCTATATTTCTTACCGTCTAGTAAAGATTGTTTCATAAATATGCATAGCAATTAAAAGCGGCATTGCTGAGAAAATGGGTCTCTTTTTACTATTGCGATACCACTCGAATCAGTGATAGTAAAAAGAGTTTCTCTACGAATCAGAATAATAAATAACATTATTGTAACGCATTAAACTTGTGATAATTTGTGGTACTACAATTGATATGTCATCTACTATAGTTAACTGAGAAGACAAAAATGGTCCATGGCTGTCGTTTTATAAAACATAAACAGAATATTAGTATCTGTGCAGAATGTGACCAAATATGTTAAAATCGTTGACTGAACAACAGGTTTACAGTTTTTCAGGTCTTTTATTAAACTATCTGATCCCATCCCCAGTCTTTGAGGACCGTTCAGTTGCTCAACAGTTGTATCTCGTCGCCGACAGCAACAACTTTTTTTTCAGCTACAGTGTTGTGGAACATCCCAGCGTACCCTTTGCTTGCGAAAGGCCTGGTATTTAAATAATTCTTGACGTTTTTAAAGTCTGTTTTCTGTATTTTTATTTAGTAGAGAAAGTCTCTATGGTTTTCGGTTAAGGTTAAGAAATAGAATAAGAGCTAGTGAAAAAGATGGTTTCTGGACAGCTACATTGACCCAATGTAGAGTTTAAAGGTAGAGCAAAAGATAATAACTTCAAATTCAACTTGGTTTAAAAGAAAAGCTGTTTGGAAGACTAAAAAGGAACCTTCAAAGTACATTCTGAAAGTAGGTCTTGAAGATTTATTATGTCAAAAGGAAGCAATAAGAAAATTTCAATTTTGGCAGATAATGAACAAACTGACTCTTTGACGCTCTAAAAACTTCAAAAGCTGTTTATTAAGAATGACATTTCTTGACTATAATAAACAAATTGCAGCTTATTATAATACTGATCGGTCGTGTCCTCAAAATAATATTTTTGCTGGCTTCAGCACGGTACTTTTTTTCAAAATATGATAAAAAAATTTTTTTTACTTTTTTTAAATTTTATTGGCTTATTTCGCGTAGGCGACGGATGATCCTCTTTTTAAGACTGAAGTTTCTTCAAATAACTTTTTTACCACAACGTTATCTTTGGAAAGCAAATCTGTTTTGTGGCAAATGTTTTTACCAGTTCTGAGGTCTAAATAAAATGCTGAAAGTTTAATGTATCAGGTCACTTCTCCTGGTTATCCAAAAAAATATCATGCCGGATATAACCTCAACTGTACATATTATTTCGCTGCTGAATCTGGTCACCTTGGTCACATACAATTTAAAGATGTTGACTTGAATGGAGACTACGTTAAGGTCTATGATGGATGGAATCCGTTGGAAAGGAGAGCAATTGGGATGTACGTTCATGAAAATCTTGACAGATTATTCTGCATTTACAATTCTCATACTAAATTACAGAAAAATTTAGGACCTTCAAGTTTAAAGCTACCAGTATCTTTTACTAAAAAACTTTTTCAGTGTTACTGGTAATAACAAAAACACAGCCACAAGTTTTAAAACGACAATGACGAGTTTGATTAGTATTGAATTTATTGGCAACTACACTGGCAAATGGCTAGCCAATTTTACTTCTGAAAAAGGTGTCACTTAAAACTCAATTAAGTAACATTTGTATAGCTTCGGAATTCGGCAACAAAATCGCAAAAGTTCACCTATTGAAAAAAAAAAACAACAGGATCAAAAATTGTGTGTAATGTCTTTACAAAACTTCATTACAAATTTTCTTTTTTTGCTTTGTAAGATTTTTCCCCAGCGATTTTATCTCTCCGTATTTTGATAACAGCGCAAATAGCTTCACCATTTTTTAACAGATATTATGGTTCATTTCGTAACCCCGTTTTTTTCACTACTCCATGAGATTTGAAAGGTCAAGCAGGTCCTGTGCTAGTACTTTCTGATCGTAACTTATCTTTGTTTGCTGAAATGAAAGAAAATAATAGTTTTCCTTAATAAAGGGAACGGTTTGAAGCTGTTTTGCACTCTAGTAAAAACAAAATTTGCTGGGGAAAAAAAATATTCACCAGTCTTAAGCGTAAAAGTGTTCATGGCGTAGGTTCTTATTACGAAATTTTGGAAGAGACATTGTCATTCAGATTGCAGGGTAAAGGTTTATAAAGAAAGTTTCCCTTGTTGACAATGAGGAGGTAGAATTACGACAGTTATTAAAGAAATTTATTTTCTTTTTTCCGAAGTAAAAGGGGGCTATTATTTATTTAAAACAATGGGAGCAAAACTGTATATGCTAGAAAGAACTAATGAAAACATGAGCCATTATCACATTTAAATTTCGCATTAATCAGATCTTTAAGTTTAGACCGGTTTTATCTGAAAGTAAAAATTGTAAAGTCTAAAAGCAAGTATTTCTTAATTTAATTTTTTATTGTAATACTTTAGCGTTGTCGGGTGGAACCAAGAATGGCATTTCCAGCGAGTCAGATGAGCGCGCTGAAACGTCTGATGAGCAGAGCGGTGAATTAAAGAACTCATATTTTTTAACTGATAAGGAGTCGTTTCATTCTGATTTAAAACTTTCTTTCAATACTGAATTGCCAATTAAGTGGTACCTAGTACCATAAGTATAACAAGAAAATGAAGGATATTTGAAAGTGATTCAGATTCCAAACAGTATGAGGAAGAAACTGCTTTTATGAGCGCAGAAGACAATGATGACCAGGTGCTGACAAGCCCAGCTACACTAGGATCTGCCGAGAATATATTATGTTAGTACTTATTAGATCCAAGACATTTATTGCTATGGTTACTTATGGGGAATTTTTACGCTTTTTATCATATGAAGTACAGTCATTACTCTAATTCTTACAGTGATGACGATTTGACTTCCTTTTATAGATGCATCTTAATCCACTGAAAATTTAAATTAAGGAAGCTATTTCAAACTTGTTACCTTATTATTTTAAAAATGTATTTTGTTAAATAAGTGACCTTCATTGTTGACTTTTATTTCAGCTTCCTACAACAAAGGAAGTGGTGACGATAGCGTTACTTCCCCAATTTCTCTACAGCTGGAAATACAGTGTGTGTAAAAAAGTTTAACACTCGAATAAAGTTTACTATGACATTAGAGTTTATTATGTTAAAAATATAAACGAAATTATGTAGAATATAAATTCAAAAAATCTTATCAAGCAGAGATAGAATATATCATGTCATGTAGACTGTCTGCTGTTTTAGCTCAAGAAGACGTAGCAAGCGAGGAGCAGATACCGGATTACGATTACGAAAAAAGTTGATAATAATGTGAAGAAGTCCTAAATGTTCTCAATAAATCAATACGAGTATTGTACAGTGTCATTAAGTCTTGTAATAATCAGTGATTCACACCTTTAGAGTTGCAAGTTTATATTTTATTTAAAATGCTTCTAATCGGCAGTTGAAAATTTTGTCTTCAGAAAATATTTCATTACTGAAAAATGTTTTGGCAGTATGAGAAACCACATTAATACTGTAACTGGTTGCATTCTTTTGTCAGTAAAACTATGATAGCGGATGATATTATTGGTCACAAATAATGTGCATTAACTTCTGCTTTTCATTACCCTTTTCATTTGTTCAAAAATTACCATAGTTTATAATGACCTTTACTGCCTCATATTAGCTCTCTTTTTTATTAGTCTTTGTATGACAGATAATTGTCAACTGTCTCCCAGCAGCGATGAAACATTAGGGAACTTATTGTGATGGTTATCCAGAGATACGGATTTGGGAATGCTAAAGTAAATACAACTGATTGAATTTGTTTCTAAACATTACTTGAATGAAAAAAATTTGTTTGCAACATTTCAAATAGACGTACTGTGAAAATCCAACAGCTAAACTGATTTCGATTCTTCAGTTTTTTTTTCTTCGTTCTGTTACTCAAAGGAAATTAACTTATAGTTTAGATTTTGAAGTCTTTCGATACCTAATTTGATCGTCAAGAATTGGTTTCCTAAATGTAGCCGTAATCTGATACACTACAACGCTGCATCAGCAATGATTGATCTTTATGGCATTGCTTATTATCTGTAATAAATATCCTTAAATAGACTTTCAGTTTGCACTATCAATGGTGAAACAAAATTATTAAAATTGGCTGTTTTTGTGCGTAAAGTGCTTAAACGATCTAAAATACTGCAAAAATTCAATAAAGTAGTTTAGGAGGTTTTAGGTAACAATTTTTACAGTTTTAGAAAGAGCAATAATTTTAAAAATGTTTGACAAATAGGATCATTTAACCAGATCTTTTTTCATTGTTTAGAATTCAACAGTTACAATCAGGTCTCACACATTTATTTACCGAATCTCAACCATTGCCGAATTTAAATCAGAAAAGTATAATCAAAAAATAGTTCCAAAAACAATAAATTGATAAGCATTGCTATTGCTAAAAAAAATAAGCCGTATAAAAGCGCGGTAGTTTATTCTATTCTTCATTGGACAATAAACAAAACCTATCACAGAAAAATTTGTAGACATTGACAATTGAAATTGTAAAAAATATTGACAAACAGATAGCAATACTTAGAAAAAAGTAACAAATCAGTTTAGGATGTCAAACTAATGAATCATTACATGAGGCGTATGAAATTTATTAAAATTAACAAGGAAGAAACCTTAGTGGCAATAAAAGAAAAAAAGAATTAATTTCCAGCAGTTATTTGGTATAAAAATTTTTTTTTTTGTTTACATTACAGTCTTTTTATGTGAACACTTTGTATATATAATTCAGAACCCATAAATCGGTTTCTATTTATATTTAACTGAAAATCAAAACTGAAAACTGTTGTTGCTTTATGACAGTCTCCTGCAAAAATTAAACGAAGATACCAATGTAACAGTGGGGAAAGAAGTGCAGAATCAACTTGTTGATTCATCGGCATAGATTTACGTACGGGTTAAACAGCAAAAATATCACCATAACAACTTTGCTATAGTAGTCTCAGAAATAATTTGAAAGTAGAGATTTGTGTTTTAGGTGCTTGAAGTTTATCTTTTTTTTTTTTTTCAATGGCTATAACAGCTGTTGAATAAAAGTAGTTCTTATTTTGCATCTCTAGAAAGTTTTTTTTTTTGAAAATTTGGATTATCTAAAGCTGAAAAAAAAAAAGAGAAAAAAAGAAAAAAAATTCTAACAGATTGTAATAACAGTTAAATTATTTGTCAGAAAAACTCACGTAGTTGGAGAAAACTAAAATCAAAAACTTTCTGTTTGAAAATTTTAAAAAAGCTTCTGGCGAGCTGTCTATAATTATCAGCGAATAGATCTGCAAAGAAGAAAAAAATTTTTAAACCACAAAAGTAAATATTTTAAAAAAACTTCTTTTTACAAAAACAGACTTTAATCCATGAAAAGAAAAGCCAGTAATTTGACTGCTTATTTTACATATTCTCTTCGATGTAGTTAGCAGTTTCTGTTACAACATAATAAATCTGAATGGTACTCCAGACAACAAACAGAATATTATTCTCAATTAAAAAGAATACAAATTTGTTAACACCTTAACTGTATATCTCACTTCGGGGTTTTTTATCTTACAAGAATACATTATGTAAACAAAACCTTTGTATCTTTTACCGACTTAATAATTTTTGGTAGGCAGTTTTGCATCAAAAAAGAAAATTGAAATTTTAGATAACTTGAGTGCCGAGAGAAGAGCGTTAAAAACAGAGAGAGCAACAAATTCGAGTTTATTTATTTATTTGTTTATTGTTTTTTGCAAAAATTTTTTTCGTTTTATCAATTTTTATTTTAACAACAAAAGTGTAAAGTGATTCCTTTGCTTAGGTGATATGAATATATAGGGAAAATTTCATTGCATTCTGTTAGAAACGATGGCTTCGAGAGCGATTTTCCTCCTTATTTTAACTGCAATCATTGCAGTCGGCTATTGTATGCGGCAACAGGCCGTTGCCGTTAAAGGCAAACTGCTGTGTGGATCTGCTCCAGCCAAAAATGTCCGGGTGAAACTCTGGGAAGAGGATACTGGTAGTTTTAGCATTGTCATATAATTTTTTAGAACTTTTTTTTTTCTCGGCGACCATTCCAGTCAATAATCGTTTTTATTATATTCATAACTCGTCGCTTTATTTAATTATACACTTATTTAAAAACTAAAATATTTTGACAAATGCAACAGTTTAGGCCCAGACCCAGACGATTTGCTTGACCAGGGCTACACTGACAACCAAGGAATGTTTAGCTTGAAAGGGGATACCAGAGAAACAACCGACATTGACCCCGTCTTAAAAGTTTATCATGATTGCAACGACGGGCTCAAGGTATTGATTTCTAGTAAAAAAAGTTTTTTTACAACGGTTTTTCTTCTTATTTGTTACACTTTTCTGAACTATTTCACTCCGAAAAGTCAATGAAATGTCAGTTTCTGGTAATAACAGTCACTCAATCATTACCCAAGCCTTAAATTCATTGAAAAGCTCGTTAAATTTCAACACACACTTTGCTATAATTAAAACTCAAGAAAGCCGAATCATTTTTAAGATTACCTTCTAAGTGTTATTGAAAAATTCTTAATTGGGCGAATTTACTTTTCCAAAAACATTCACTGCTTGCAGCCAGGGCACAGAAAATTAAAGATGAAGATCCCCTCCAACTACATCTCGAGTGGAAAGGTTGCAAAGAAAGTTTGTGATATTGGTGTCCTCAACCTAGAACTCATCTTCCCGGTAATTTTTGAATGTCTAAGTAAGCTAGAAGTATTAGGGTTCGTCATAATTAAACTTTTTAAAGCCGATATATTAATGCACGAATCACTAAAAATGATCTGCTTAGCTACCTCAACTACATTCGTTTCTTCAGGGAGAAGAACGTGAACTTATGGTGTCGTAAACGTACATCACAGTGCCGAGATGAAGTCACCTTAGACGTGGATCTGATTCGTGCCTCAAATGTACTTCAAACTGCCAAAAAGATTAAAACTGAAACAAATAAAATCTCATTATCCTCTTTATATAATCAATTCATGCGTCCAAAGTTTGAATACATATTGTTGAGAACCAGCAAGCAAAAACATGTAGCAGGGATAGAAGAAAGCTGCTAAACAGCCATTTTCGTTTCAGCAGTACTTAATTCCTTGACATTTTCTGGTCAACAGACTGCAGCTTCTAAAAACCACCAGGCGAAAGTAATAATCGCGAAATTGTGAACTTTTTTCTCCATCATAGCGTTCTAAAAGAACAAACAAGATTTCAATGCCTGGGCTTGTTAACTAAAAAGAATTCAAACTTTGATTCTTCTGCAAAGTAAACACCAATTGTTTTAAAACGCTTGAAAGAAACACCTTTCCCTAACAGTATACTTAGAAACTTAGAAATTAGGACACAAAAAATGGGACAGTAGACTTAGAAGTTAGAAGTTAATCCTAAACAGTAAAATGGTAACCCCTTGGTAATGAATGTGATGAATACGACAAATAAAAAATATTCATGACTTTCTGGTACATAAAAAACAGTTGTCATAAAACAGTAAAATCATTTGGTTCTCCAGCTCTGCATTCCATCGTTTCTCCTGCTCTATCCTCACTTATTTTGCAACAGTTGGCCGCAGTTATTCTTATCAACAGTTCCAAAGCACAGAGTAGATAAAACTTGCTAACACTATCAAAAACAGATCACCAATCATCATTTTCCGCAGCAAAAAACTGTTAGTCATCCAAGACCTCATATTAAATGCTTATTGTTACAAAGTTTTATGCCATTAACTTATGGCATTCGTACCACAATACAATTGAAGGAGACGATGCCACCGAAAGGTGCAATTGAGCAATACGCATACGCAGAAATTTGATAATATTACAGCGGACTCACTTTGATTCCAGGAAACTTTATTTGAAATCCACTTATCCCATTTTTTTTTATTTCCTCTATTAAGGTGTGGCTACATTCTTGACGCTGATACTATGTAGCAATGCTAGCTTATTAGTCTTTATTGCGCCCCAATTCTGGCATGCACAGCTTCTCCCTTGCTGCACTCCCCCATATAATTCTTCCAGAAATGAAAATTGAGTTAAGAATACAATGGTAGTGTTTTAACAGCTCTAAAATCAGCTCTTTTGCAAAATACCGGCAAAACTTTAGATTGGTTACATTTGCTACACAAACATGTGCAATTTGGGTCTTAGAATTCCTGGTTTTGGAGTTCATAATTTTCTCAGGAACAGCTTTCATAAGACAGATGAACAGTCGGAAAAAGCCAGCTTTCCGGTTGGATTGAACAGCTTTAACCACAACCGTGAAATTTTCATGTCATTTCATGGAGGAAAAGGTACTGTAAGGAATATACGATTTTTTGACCAGTAAATCATTATTTTCAGAACTGCCTTTGAAACTTCATTATTTTCAGTGTTGTTTGTGCAGAAAATTGCATAAAGAGTACATTACTTAAGAAATAGTGTTTCATTGCATTTTTTGGGGCTTTACCAACCAATCTTCTTCCCGCAGTTCTCTAGGGAGCTCTTTTGAATTAGCAACCTGTAGTACAGGAAAAATGTCTTAAACGCGCTTCGCCATTTCTACATTACTTCCACAAATGCTGCTGCTATTCTTTGCTGAAAACAGGCAGCCTATCAACAGCCCGCTGTCATAACTCTAAAAAATAACCTTTATCGGTCCACTACTGCTTCAGTTCAGAAATCAACCGGTCTTCTGAAGAAATAGCTTCTAAAAATCACCTGTCTTCCAAGAAAAAAAAATTGAAGTTCCAGTACTTTTTTTTATTTTGTTTTGAAAGGAGGATTGTTTATTTTACAAAGGAAAAATAAATTTTTAAAACAAACAAGAAACTGGAAATCACGTCCACGCGAAATGTCTTTAGAAATTACTCCAATAATTATGAGACTTTCGTACTGAACTGTGCTCGGCCAAAAAAACGTGGTTTCCTGTAATTTTGGGAAAACGCCAAGTTTCACCCGAAGGAGCTGCTAAGGAAATCTTTTCTGCTTTTCGTATCCGGGCACTAACTCCTCGTTCAGGTAGAAAAGATCTGAGACAGTGACTGAGAAAGGTGTGTCACGTTGAGGTCCAGCAATTCATATATTTTTCTGTTTATAACTGAATGCCAATGTTCATTTCAGCATATACGCTGGCTCAGGATCCCTTCATTAATTTGTTAGAAAAAACTGTTCTGCTGGAACAGAGAACTGAAGGTTTGGTCAGTGCTATGCTCAGAAAATGTCAGTATCAGTAAATATCTTTTAGTTGCATGGCGCGGAGAGATTAGGCTTACTAATGATATTAATTACTAATCTGCTCATTACGCCGATATACTGCAATAAGTAAGAGAACGTAAAAAAGGGCTTTTATTGATAAAACTTTACTGCGTTTAGCTTTCAAAGAATGGTTTGCATTTTGGTTGAAGCATATTAACAAAAGATGAAGTATTGCCTGGTGACATTTGTTTTAAGGAGTAATGGTACTGAGTGGGAACTTATAATGAAAGCTGAAAATACTTCTGAATTGAACTGGTAAGTTTTCTGATGGTTAGATTACAGATATACAGGTGTCGCACTGAAATTTCACTACAGAAGTTAGCCCTTTTGGAAACGAGTAGAAGTGATATGTCAAGCCACTGTGACCTTAGCCAGTCTCTGGGTTTTAATGATGTTGGTTCATTCCACGGAAGGACATAACTCGTCGGGAATAGTGCTGCTAATGGACTTTGTAAAATGGGAAATGATTTTGAAAACAGAATAGTATCTCAAATATACATATTCAGCGCTCAGATATACACCTAAAGGTGACAGCTCTTTGCTAGGATATTTAGCCTTCCGTCGCGTACACTTATTTACGATTTGAGATTATAGAAGGTCCTGGATCTTTCACTTTCTCTCACTGTTTTTTTGTTCAGGTGAACGTCCTTCTGTAATTTTTGGAAACCTTGAACTCCTTCAAATTCTGTTTGCTGCTTTATTTATTAGTCCCACTGTTTGTCTATGCACACGCTTACTTTTATCGAACATTACGCAGACAAAGAGTAAAACAGATTTTAGCAGCTGAATTTTGTTGAAGAACTTCTGTGTTTACAAACAAGCAAACTTGCTGCAAATTGTAGACTGCAACACTGATTAGTTATTGTCGTTTGGTTTTTCGGTAATTAGCTTAGGGTTTTCTGTTTCTCGGCGCCTAGCTGCATGAATGCTGAAGCAAGTTTGTGTTTTTTACTTCATATTGAGACAAGTTTGATGGATTAATGAAAAAAAGGCTTCAAAGGTTTTGAGCGGTATTAAGAAGCAGTCGTTGACCAAAAGTCAAAGAGTCGTTAGATATTTGTAGTTAATGCCGTTCATTTAATCGACCGAAAATGAATTGTTTTTTCTGTATAACACATTCCCTTTCGTTCACAGCTTGGTTCTTTATGGTTTTCGTTTCAGGTATCTCTTTGGTTTAATGTTTGTTCGGGCTTTAGTCAGTAAGACTGCAGTACTAAGCCATCTTTTCAAAAATCATTGCAGAGTAAGTTATATCAGCAACATTTTTTTACTAAGCCTTGAGCCCTGTTTAGAATACTTTAATTTCTCAGTAAATTGAGGTGGTTTAGTATAAAAAAGAAAATAATATTATTTGCAGACTGGAAATAGTGATAGTTTATTTACAGAGCACATGGGTGCTTAGAAGAGTTGTGGTTCCAGAGGCAACTCCGGAAGGTCAATTTCAGCGAGATCCGGAGGAGTTGCCTATAATGATGAGGTACGAAGTGGTTGAAAATGAGAACGAAAAGGACCCTGGCTCAGTAAAGATTATCCTTTTGGAAGATGTTGAAGGTAATCATTATGTTACTGGATCCCCAATACGATTACTCTTGTTTTCACGATTAGTGCGGTGCTCTATTTTGTACAAGTTTTTTTATTGATGTATTCACACTTGCTGTTTCAGTCAAAATTTCTTCTAGTGTGGAGGAAACTAGTAAGTATTTGCGCTTTCTTCAAGTTTTAGGTGTTGGGAATCAATTTGACGTTGTGGAAGTGAACCGTGATTTAGCCCGTAACAATTTAATTCTTGGACGTAAAGCAGTCTATGCGTCTCCATTTGATCTTAAATATTATAGTCAACTGAGAGAGGTAACTTCTTGCATATTGCTGAGTCACAGTCCATTTGCGTGTTTGGCGCCATTACTACTAGTAAAAATGGAAATGGGTTCTTTGCTTTAATATTGGAAATTTTAAAAAAATGTGGTGACTTCGCTTTTCACTTTCAACTTGCAATCGTAGACTGTTATTGCTACATTTCAACTAACTGTTCTTCACCACTTATTGCAAACTAGTTGTTGAAGAGCGCCACTCTTTCAGAAAATGAAAGATGAATTGGAAAAAAAAGTCCGTATACCGTATGATTACATTCTAGTAGCAAGGGAGCTGGTAAAAATTATCCTCCCAATTCATGTTTCATTGGTTAATCCCTGGACATTGGACCGATCGATATTGCACTGTTCATTGGCGGAAAAAGTTTGTTTAATCATCTTCCCAACTTCTGTCCACTTAATTTTTGTCCACTCTAATCAATAATCAGTTATAAGCTTCACTCTGAATGGGTCCTTAGTTTATTCATTGTGTTACACTGCTGCAAAATTACTAATTTCTAAATGGCCAACGAGTTTCTAAAAATTCCCTCGTCCTGTGTCTCAATTATTTATTTTAGGGCATTTTTGTAGATGAAGATGCAGTTTTCTCACCTAAGAAAGAGTATAAAGGGCCAGATATTGGGTTAGAAGGCCAATTAGTACGTTTTTACCTTGTTGTCTGTAAGCAGTATATTGTCCCAATGGTAGGAAGGATATCGCACATCACCTCAGACACTTCTAAACAGGTAAATATAACAGAAATTTTTTCTTATTTGAAAGAGACTGTCATCCTATATATGAAAAATATTCTTACCCCGCATAGTCTTTTAAAATGAATTTTCCGTCTTCAAATTTCCAGCCACTTTAGGGGAATGTGGGCGTGCTACTAGGGCTGCTCTTGTAAAACGTCCATTTTATACGTTCTTCGAGGGCATTTGCACTGTTTGAAAACTTATCTTTCATATTAGTTTTCTTCAAATTGCTTTGTGTCTTCTTTCTGGCAGCCAAAATCCTTCTAGAATATTATGATGACATTTTTAGGTCGTTTTTCCGGATAAGCCAGCTGTCGTCACCGACGAAGAGCTATTAGCAAACGGGCTTGTCAAGGAAGAGCCGTTATTTTATAAAAGCCCTGTTGTTGATTCAACTTTTGACGTCAACGACTTGATGGAAAGAAGGAGTAAAGGAATGATTTAAAACTCGTATACGATTCTATTTTTACCTGGAATTTGCGAGCAGAATCATATGGCTATTTGCTAAGAGTGTTACAAAAATTTGCCAGTTCCGAAATATCAACCCTGATCTGCTTTAAAGTTCTTATTCACTGTATGTCGTCTAGTCACTTTCTTAAAGCACTCAGTTGCCTTGAAGGTAAATTTGTGACACCGTCTGCTTTAGTGAAAAGAATTGTGCAAGTCTGATTAGTGATTTGTTACGTGATATGTTGGAGTTTTTCATGCCTTGACAATTTGCTCATTCTTTACTATTATCTTAAGTGTAATTATAAACCAGAAAGTATAAATTAAGCTATAAGAGAAGTCAAAATAGTTCAGTTGTGATGGAGAAATAAATAAGAAAGCTTTGTCTGAAACTGACATCATTCTGCATCTATTAGATGCTAAATGTTTATGCTGTAAGTTGAAATGGCGTCACCACTAGCAAACAAGAAGTACAAAAAATTGCAACAGATCGTTGATTTACAGAATATCTAATTCCAAATGAAATCGCCTACAAAAAAATAATAAGAAATGAGATGGGATATGCTTCAAGCTGCTTTCTACTTTCGTTTTTAAATCTTATTGTTACCGTTTACACATTGGACGTTTAATGTTACGAACGTTGATTTTAGTGAGAAGCAGGAATGTAAGTACGTCGTGTTCTTTAACTATGCGGTAGCATCAGCTGAATAGCCAGACCTCATAAGTTGATTTTAAATGAACAATTCTGTACGCAATTAATAAACAATATTTATAAATGAGTCTTGCTGCCTTCCACGTTCGGCGACATAAGCTTGAAGTTTATAGAGAATGAATCTTGTATGTTCAAATGAAAGCCACTGTAATCATAGTAATTATCTGGTTTGACCAAAAATGCTAACTGCAAACCCGGTTAGGTCCACCCAGAAATCTGCTCTTAAACCATAACTGGATTCAGTAGCACAGCACCGCTCAATACTGATGAAAAATTGGAGCCTTTGTAAACTAAAAGGCCGCAAGGCAGTCTGGCAAAGTTTCAACAAATTTGATTTTTTGTTGCTTGCACTGATCAGGGTTCGTTGGTGATAGAGTGCTGTGTCTTAAAAATTGGTCTGCCGAGAGCGAAAATCACTCAGTTTCAACCGTCTGCCTTTGTTTGACTGCCTTCTGATTGATATTTACAGTTCTGTGCCTAGTATTTTACTGCTTGTCGTTAAGGACTTGAGTAACTATCTTTGGTATGCTTTGTGATCTGTGAGACTTCAGAAAAATTTAACTGCTTTGAAATGATTGTTTACTATCGCCTTCTTTTACTATTGAAAAAAAGTGATCGCACTGAATTTATCCGGAAGTGTCAGATATTTGCTTCTCCGTGTGTTCTTTGCACGTTTTGAGCAAAATAAAGTCTATGAAGTAAACAATATTGGTCGAATGTGAATGGTCTAATTTTTTTACCACTACTGATACGTGTTTTAGTGTTTTCGTGATTGATTTAAACAGTAAGGTGCGTTGTAAATCTGGAATTACGTTCACTTTATATTTTTTATTTTCAGCTATCTTCTAAATCTCAAACTTGAAATCGATTATTCAAGATGTCAGCGATGGTAAAAACCTTTTATACTCTATGTGCTATCTTCTCAGGTGTATTTTTGGGGACAGGTAATGTTATCTTCAGCAACTTTATTTCCACACATTCCGCCATTGCTAAGGTAGTTCTTGTATTAGGTGATAATAAATCTCTTTGCATGCCAGATTTAAACAACTCAAGTATCAAAATAGTTACACTTCTGTTTATTTAATTTTGGTAAAAAGGGTACTTTCTTCATAAATGAGTTGGTTTAAGCATTGTTGGGGGGATAAGGAAAAATTCAGAGCAAACTTTTTTGAATATAGTTTCAGAGGGTGAACCTCTAGAAACTAATCGTTTATGGAAAAGAACCTGTAGATTTTTAACATTGTTCATTTCACGGGCTGAGCGGTTTCAGAGATCATGGTAGGATAGTTTTGATTCCAGTCGTTTGTTTGCTCATCAGCATCATAAAAGCACTTCAGGATTGTTTTACATGTTGTCTGGCCAAGGAAACAGATATGACATAGGATGGTTTTTGACTCAAACTTCTCCCCATATGTGGGCTGGGCTTGGTATTGGTGCATCACTTTCGCTTTCGGTCATTGGAGCTGGATGGTATCCTTTTTACTTTTTACAAAAACATAAAACTATCTTATCGGCGGCATTGCTCCCTCTTTTCCAAAAGCTAAACATTTTTATTCATGTAACGTTTGAGAGGGAAGTAGAGGTAACTTCTAGGGGAATTTTTACAACTGGCGCCTCAATACTTGGTGGCGGCGTAAAGGCGCCGCGCATTCGCACCAAAAACCTGGTCTCAATTATATTTTGCGAAGCTGTCGCTATCTTTGGAATCATTATGGCGTTTGTTTTCGTTGGAAAACTTGCGGTATTTTTGAAGTTTTGCAGAAGTGACATTAATTGTTTTGTTTTACATATTGTTCATGTTCTTCTCAGTACTACAACTTTAATACCGTTATTAGTAAAATTTTTTTGTCGCCTAGGACTTTAATCGGAACGCGGCCTCTCGAGAACTACTCGCAAAGAACTTGGCTGCCGGATATATGATTTTTGGAGGCGGTTTTACCGTTGGTTTCAGCAATTTTGTGTGTGGTTTAGCTGTCGGTAAGCGATACAGAAAATTTTTTGTTAAGTGATATTTGGGATGTACATGTGTAGTTAAATAGGTGTGCTAAGTTCTTTCTCAGTGGAAAATGTATTTAGCATGAAAAGCATATAATTTCAAAAGAATAACTGTTGTTAAAAAATTGAATTGTAGGTGAACGAAATATGAGTTAGACGTTAGTTTGAAATTCTAATTTTCACTAGTCTAGCAAAGGAAATTTTCGGTGTCTTTGTTCCTTCTTAGTAAGCAAAAAGGACAAGTAGCCTGCCTTTACACCCTTTTGTTTCTTCTCAAAGTTCTCCCCTAAAGCCGTAACTTCTTTAATTTATGGAGTTCCTGATTCCATGTCAATGATAATAACAAGCGAAATCTTAGTGGGAAAATTTGTAATGACTGACTTGGCGAAATGAAGTGATTGCTTGCGTTGCTAACTTCATGTTTTCCCTTTGGGAAGACCTCAAAAGATATCGTTAACTGAAAACTTTATAATTTCGTTCAGCTCAGCATTCATTTCTAAGTTCCAGTTTTTTTAACGGTATAATGTCAAAGCTTCTGCTTGCTATTGCTATTGCTTGGACTTAGTTAATACTTTAGGGATTGTTGGAAGTGGAGCCGCAGTTGCAGATGCAGCCAACCCAGCGCTATTTGTTAAAATTCTTATAATTGAAATTTTTGCTTCTGCCATAGGTCTTTTTGGGATGATTATTGGAATTGTTCAGGTAATGACACTAGGATATTTCTGTTTCTTTCCGCGTCGATATTATTCTTGTTTCTTCAGAGGTTTAGATATAAAATTCATTTCAGACAAACAAAGCGTCCATGGGTAACCAGCAGTAGCGGTGACTGCTGTCTTAGGGAGAACGCGGGAGGATCTGGCTGCCTATCTTGCTGTTCAACGCTACTGCTTCCTTAGGAGTCAATCAGTCTTGAAGACTAAATGCGACTTTGTGACTAGCCTCCGACTTCGACTTCTTTTTCATGCTTTCTCTTTTGTTTATGTTTCGCCATGGGCACCTGCTCGGCCCCTTGAGGCTTGAGCTCCTTTAAAGCATATCCACGTGTGTGTCGCTTACCTGGTGGTGCAAGGGCCACCACGCAGAACCCTTTGATCTCCATTGCCCCGGCGCCGTCGCATTTGATATCACCCCTTGTAACGACCCCCCTCGCCACAAAGTAGCCCGTTTTCCTCCCACTCAGACACTTCCCCTATGTTACTCATTGTGCTATTTCTGTGAAGCTTTGGCAAGTTCTCTGTAGCTCTTCATTCCGGCTAATAAACTGTACCTAGTCGCAATCGTTCTATACACATCCCGGACTAATGAATAGGTCCGCGATGTATCTTGTTCAAAAGCTACCAACATTAACAACAGAAACGTTTATTCTTTAGATGCTAGAACATAGAATCAAGCCGTTGCTCCCGCTTCTGCCAACAGGTCTTTCTTTAACTTGCCCATAAAGTCCTTCTTTTCAGCATGCGTTTGGAACCTGCCATGTCCAAATTTGGAGCTGGTATCAATCCATTTCAAGTTTATTGCCTCGTGTGCAAACCTCTTCGTCTGCACAATCAATGACTTCCTTAAAGTAATCGGCCTTTTTCTCGGCCCCATACAGCACCCTCTTATCATGATATAATCCTGGTTTACAAGTCCATAGTGAGGAAATCCACCCTAAAGTAATGTCCACTAGTATAGCTATAAAGAAATCAATCACTGAAAAAGCACAAAACTAGTGCTCTGCATATGCGTATATCATCTAAATCCATTCAGAATTGCGGACATTTTTCATCATAGCACAACCAGAAGTTTGCAGCAAGCGTCGAGTAATGGCGTTGCAAAAAAAATTTAAAGAAGAAGAAACCATCGGATTTATGTTCTTCTCGGTGGTGTCGTATTCTGTATTGCCGTTATTTTTGCCCTCCTCAGTAAGGCACGACTTTCCTATCCGATATACTTTCTTGTTCATTTCCGTCCTGTGATGGTAGCCTTTCTGACCAGCTCTGGCAACTGTGAACTGTACACGAGACGGATGCCAAGCGCCAATGCAAGCCACCTAAAGTGACAATCACTAGACCTTTAAAACTGCAACTTGAAAACAACCATCGTTTCTTGCGGCTCAGCATGTGAAAATTCTCCTCATTTTACTTCAGTCCACTACTTTCAGAACAAACAACATCACAGCCGCCTT